AGGTAAAAGAAAACTAGGCTTAAACCCAATTTAGAAAAACTCTCTCGGGTCGTGGGATAACAGAAAGGGATCTAATTATTAAATTTTTATTATTACTCCTGCTGTCAAATTTAAAAATATAGGGTGGCAGTTTTTTCTAATCTATTAGAAAATTTAAAAAAATTTTTTTTAAGGGGAACAATTTAAAAAAGTGACATAAAATTATTAGTACCATTTGATACATCACATTTTGAATGGATATTTTACCCAATACCGTACTTGAATATTTCCAGCAAGGTTGGATCCTGGAACCTTATGACTGTGAGCCAACTATTAGTCTAATTAATAACATGAAACAGGGATCATTAATAAGTTAATATGAAGATCAGCATTTACCGGGAAACTGACCTACGAAACATATAAGACAGGTTACAAACATCTTGAAATAGCAGATAACCCGTCTCCGTCATGGTTACCCGGCACCAGGTCACCGAAGCCGATGGTGGTGAGGGTGATGAAGGTGAAGTAGATGGCTGACATGAGTCCCATTGTCCCACCAACAGAAGAGTATCCCGCACATCATGGCGTACACCGTGATCACGAACAGGTTCACAACGATGGGCACATTTACCTAGAGACAGAGAGAGGGGTAAAGACTGGGTTGGTCCGAAAAACTAGCCTAGTCACGGTAAGTAACGATTGCAACAACAAAGCAAGTGTTTCCTGACGCGGGTCTTAGTCATATGGTGACGAGCAGCTGGAGCTTTCAGCCATCTGAACGAGGCCTTCCAATGGCTTACTTTTCCACCCCTTTAAAAAATTATGGAATTAAGATTCCTGACTTAGAATTTAAAAGTTGCCTAGTCAGCATCGGCTCTACGTACTATATAACCTTATTGTTTTTATAATGTGTAACCCCCCTTAAATCAGGGATAATCACACATAGCACTACAGACCACTACCCTACCTTCCTCCTGACAAAACATTAGTAAACCACCACTTGAATACAACAAAGTCTCATTTAGACTTCATGACGAGGCCTCAATAAGGAAGTTCACAGCTGACCTAGAGGCTGTTGACTGGCCTGCAGGAATTCTCCAAGGCCAATGGTATTGATGACTGGACAGACATTTTTCTTAACAAATTACTTAGACTATATAACAAACATTGTCCTATAAAAACGAAACAGATCACAAACAAACGGCTTGGTTGCCCATGGCTAACCAGCACCATTCTGAAATCCATTGACAAGAAACACCAATATGAAAAGCACTATAGACAGGGCTTAATACACAAAGATATTCTTAAACACTATTCATCAGTTCCATCAAAGTAATAAAGAAAGCCAAACAACTATACTACTCCAGTAGATTCACAGACACTAGAGGAGATATAAAAAAGACCTGGAAAACACTCTCAGATTCTAGGGACCCACAAACTGAAAAAAAAAAACAAGAATATTGTCCTAACTAAACCTAATGAAACACCACTACATCCCACTGACACAGCTAACAAGATAAACGACTTCTTCTCAACCATAGGATCTAATCTCGCCAATAAAATCCCACATACCAATGCCCATGCCGGGACTACTAGATGGAATTTCCCAAATTCCTTCTATCTTGCACCAACTGAGCCCACGGAAGCCACCGAGATTATAAAGTCACTTAAAATAACTCAGGGAATCTGTCTCATGTCCCACCATTACTGTACAAGCGAGTGGCCCATGTCCTTTCGCATGCTATTTCATTACTTTTTAACAAGTCACTAGAAACTAGCACCTTCCCGAAACTACTCAAGATGGCAAGGGTTACACCAATACACAAAGGTGGTGACCCTACAGACTTAAACAACTATAGGCCAATATCAAACTTACCATTGCTATCCAAAAATATTTGAGAAACTCGTGCAGTTTAGTTTAATATGTTTATTATGCACCCCATACCCATCCTGTGGGCGGTAGTCAAAAGATTACAGAAGTACATAATTGGTCCAGGGACTGGACTCCAAAGTTTTGGGTAGCTGAGCAAGTTTTGAGGTAAAAAACTCACAATTTACAAAAAGGGAAAGAAAATCAAAAGGGTTTTCCCAAAAAATAAAAAATCCAGGTAGGTCCCGGTCCCCCAATCATGACAAGTTACAAGGTATTTTCAGGTTACAGGGACCCTAATGGGGTCCCGGGATGGGCCCCCCCAAAATTTTGATAGCTGAATAGGTACAAGGTAAAGAACTCACAAAATTTACAAAAGGTAATGAATCCTGTAAGAATGGGGTTTCTTACGTTTATTCATGGTACCCTTTATGAACAAATTATTGAATAATAGCAATTCCACTTCCCCACCCTGTCACAACAGTTTAAAGAGTTATTGGTGCAAAAATTGATTGTTGGTCACACACACACACCCCAACACAACAACCCCCCCACACACACACAACACACACAAAAACACAACACACACAGCCCAAAAGCCAACATGGTTTCCCGGGAGGGAAAACCTGTGTAAAAAACCCTTCTGGGTTCTATTTACATGGTGCAGCCGCAAGACAAGGGGAGAGAGGGGGGGTGGATTGGGATTTTTTGGGGCTGCAAAAAAAGGGGGGGTTTTACACCCGTTCCCAAAAAGGATTTGGGGCAAAAACTGGAGGACCAAAAAGGGATAAAGGGGGGGGGGAAACTCGTGCACAGGAGGGCCTTTTATCATTTTTAACGGACAAACATACTTAAAACCCCGCCAATTTGGATTTGGAAAAAAAAAGCGTAATGATGCAATTTTAAAAAAAATGCTAGATCTTTCTTTTCTTCCCGCATTGGAAAATAAAGGAATATCCACTAGGAATTTTTTTTTGACCTAAAAAAAGCTTTTTACAGAGTTTTGGGCCCCGACATCCTACCCCCACAAATTTGACCCCTTTTCGGTTTTAAGAGGGCCCTGCGCTTGGGTTTTTTTCAAATCCCTTTCCTTACTAAAAGGTATTTAGTAGGGACCATTAAAGACACAGCATCAAAACACACGGCCCCCTTTATACTGGGGGTTTTCCCCCAGGGAAAAGTGTCCTTGGTCCCCCGCTCTTTTCAATACATCAATGATTTTCCAAACGTTTTCCCAAAACCTTTAAACCTTTTTCTGACGACACGACTTTGTCATCTCTCACCCTTTTCTTGCCCCTCAAAAACCTTGTTAACGAGGGGGCTGATCAAAATATCACTTGGATGCAGCCCCAAAAAATTCGCTTAAAACTGACAAAAACCCACTATATTATGTTTGGTTTGCCAGAGGAGATGCACAAAAATTTAAAATTAAAATCGACAACACTCTAATTACCCGACCTAATGAGGGGAAATTCTAGGCCCAATACCTTGACAACAAACCTGAAATTTTTTGCACCCATATCCAAAAACCCTAACCAAAAAAGTATCCAAAAAAGGTTAGGATCCTCCCAGGTTTCGATACTAGTGCCCCCAAAAAGGCCCCCTTTTCAATTTTACCCCTAAAAAAATTTTTCCAACCTCCTATGCTATTTGGGGCTTGGGGGGTCCCTGCAGCCCAAAACACCTTTAAAGGGCCAATTTAAAAACCCAACAAAAAGCTGCAGTAAGAATTAAATTTTAATCCCTCCCTGGCAACAACCCCCCCCCCCCACTCTTCATAGACCTAAACTTACTCCCTGTTCAGTACATCCACACTTACTACTGTGCAATTTACATCTACAGGACCTTAAACTCCAATATCAACCTTGACCTAAAACGCTTTCTTGATAGTTGTGACGAACCACAGGCATAAAAACCAGACACAAACATCTCTACGACATTCCCGTGTCCGACTAAACCTTTACAAAAAATCAATGTATGTCAAAGGCCCTAAAATCTGGAACACCCTACCCGAGAAATCTAGAAAATGCAGACACATTCATCACCTTCAAAACTACCATTAGAAAACATTTATCTCCCTGATACACCCTGTCAAAATAACTACACGATACCACCTGGGGGTTCACATTACACTCACTCACCCCTTTGACCCAAAAAACAGAAATATTAATTCAATCTTAAAATAATGAAACCTGTGATACTCAATACTGAAACTATGTACTGTGCCAAAACAAAAGCATTCACATTGCTAAACTCACAAACTAGTATTTAGGCACTTAGCCATAATGCCAAAATTACCTCTAATTTGTAATATTTTAAAAATTTAAAAATTAAACTAAGTCTGCTCGGGAAATGCCCAGCCATGCTAGGTGTTCTAGTGGTACACTCTGTAATCATTATTTTACTACATGTAAACCACACAATAACCAAATTCTGTAAACTCAGCATTGTAATCCTTATAGAGATAAACTTTGAATTTGAATTTGAATTGAAGACGCCATTGTAAGTAGTTTAAGTTTTTATTATGCCCCCCTACCTATCCTGTGACGGTAATCAAAAGATTACAGGGTCTAATGGGCAGGGGGTGGGGAAAATTTTTG